TAAAGCGCTTTGGGGTCCTTAGGGACTAGAAAGGTGCTATACAAATACAGGCCATTTACCATTTATCTGGTTGTCGCCGCAGTACAGCTCAGCTCACACGAGGAAAACTGCTGGAGCTCACAAAGACCTTTTGCTGCTGCAAAACTGCCTTTTAAATAAAGTTGTTTAGGTTTGAACGGTGCTCAGCTGCTCGCCTTGCAAAGGCCTGACAGCGGTCCCCGGCGAGCTCCGGACTCCTCGGCCCTCACACAGACCTGCATGAACCTCATTTGCTCAGGTGTCATTACATAACGCTTCCTGCTAAGTGTTCTTCCAATGAAGCGTGACGCACAGGCCTGAAGGTCGCCGCCCACAACACCGCCTACATCCTGTCTGTGTGCCAGGCAGGGAAGCACCAGGGAAACACACACACACACACACACACAGCCATTTAAGCTTCCGCTGGCTGCTGTGGGTTGCCATGGGGACATTTCCATGGCAAATAAGTGAGTTCTCGTCCCCTCCTCCTCCTCCCACTCGTCTCTGCATCAGTCTGAGCAGCAGGACAACAGGTTTATGGATGGATGGACAAGAGAAGCAGAAATACTTCATTTCAAAGCATGAAACTATAAACTGAACTCAGAGCTGCTCTGAGCTCCCACACAACCCCTGCAGTTTACATTCAGTTTATCAAGAAGTAACTTTTTCTACACACTGCAGGAGATTTCAGTTTTAATTGTGATGGAGGGGAACTTCGCCCGGCAGCAGCAGAAACCAGACAGAAAAGGTGAGATTACCAAAATGTGCTGACATGCTGTTGGAGGTGACTGTTGAGATTTGGCACTACAGAAATAAAACTGAATTCGACTAACTGTTTGCAGATGCTTCAGAACTTTCTCATTAGCAGCCACTTTAGGCTGGCTCCAGAGGTAAGTCACTCCTCATAGACTCCAATAAACCTTTTCAGTTTCCTTTGTACCCGAGTTCAACGATTAAACGCTCACAGCGGCCCAATGCTAGCTAAGCCTTAAAAGTGCACTAAGGCTTTAAGTCACATCACACAACCAAAAAAAGAAAAGTCCAGGTAAAAGGTTAAACATCAATATTTACTTAGAATTAAACTTTTATTCTTTCTATGAGTCGTCTAAAGTGCTCCAGTCGATGGTCAACTTCTTTCAGGCTCCTGAAGAGGTTCCAGCTCTGGCTTCATCAGTTCCAAAAGCTAAAGAAGAGTCTAAGTTATTAACCTTGGTCAGGGCTGTCACACAGAAGTCCCAACAGGCCATCACATAGATCGAGGAATGGATGGTGCTTAACCCTTTAAGACCTACCATAGAACCAAGTCCACCAGAGCTTATATTATATGTTTACATGCTGTGGAGCCATTTGTGGGAGCATTTCAAGTTGATATACATCAATACAACCATTACAGCCTAAATTTTAATAATATGTCTGCATTAAGTGCATAGTAATTACATAAATTGCAAAAAAGTGCAATAAACTACAAAAAAATTGAAAATCGTTTTTGTTTTTTTAACATATATTTCTAGTTAGAGAAATTTAAGAGGCTTATCCCTCAAAACTGTAAATACAAAAAAGTTGCACAAAATAGTTTCCCACCACAGGAAATTTATTTTGAGTGTCTTCATAGTTTTATTTTTGAAATACACCAATTTTTATACACTGCAGGAAAAACAAAAATAAATATTATAGTGCAAATTTGCAAAAAAGCAGCATATGCATCAAAATAAACTATTTCCAGCAGTGCAATATGAGTCCTAAGCATCCCAGAAACGACACAGAAAGTCATAAAGTCAAAGATAACTTTTAAAAACACCAGTATAGGCTCATGAGGCCCTGATGGTAAAAACTACATTTCCGCGAAAATGACGTCACTTCCGGTTTCGGGCAGGACATGGAGGACATGCGATAGTTCGCGCTCATGGACGTAGGAAGTGTTATGAACAGCTGATCGGATCGGCAAAGCGTGTTTCTGGAATATTATGTTTTTTTTGCTGGAAGTGCTTTTTATGCAGTTTTTGCAAAGTTATATGTGGAAGGAAACTGTGACCGAGGACAAGCTGATGGCATAAGATGTAAGTACAACTCCTCCGGTTTCATATGCAAAAAAAATGATTGCGCTAGCTAACGTGGTTGCAGAGCTACCGGGATTTTAAAATAGTTACGCAAAACAGAGCGTGCTGCTCCGACCGGTTTAAAGGGTTAAATCACCTGGTAAAGGATCTCAGGACTGTGTTGCAGGTGGTTGATGATTGATGTTGTAGACCACCACCTGCTTGGTCCAGCATCTATGTCCACCCAGGTGGACATAGATGGCCTCCTTTACTCTGCTCTCATATCATCTCAATTTAAAATGTGAACATCTGTCTCCTCAAGAGTGTCTCCTCTCTTTTAGGTGTCTATGTGGACCCTACTATGCTGTGTCATGTATCTGTGGTCCTTTGGGTGATCCTATATCCCAACCACTCCTCACTGCATTGCACATCATGCATGACGTTGCTTAGTTTGGGAGTGGACGCTTTTGTCTTGGGATGAACCACTTTGTTATCTGGGAGTGTTGCTGGTTCTGAATTAAGATTTTAAGAATACTTGACCTCTGACCTTGCGGTTGAGGTCACTGTGATTTTTGGCAGATGTACCTGTGGTTTCCATTTGAAACTGCTAGGTTGCTTCATTCTTGAGTTATCGCATTTACAAAAAAGATGAAATATTGGTATCACATATTGTAAATAACTGCTCTTCTTGTATGTGTCTTTATTTAAAACATAACACACAATAAACAAAGTAACAGTGTGTTTCATCATGAAGCTGCACAGCATCATAAAACTAAACTTCCTGGCAGAACAGTTCCCCTACACCGAACTCAAGCCTACAGGTCTGCCTAATAAAGCGAACTCTGAGTGTATTTAACTGCTTTGCCCTGTTCTTCTCCTCTTCCTCCTCCTTGTTGTGTAACAGTGAAGGTCTGGAAGCAGGTTATGAGCAGGTGGAGGTGACTGAACACCTCCAGGCGTGGAGCTGCTGTGTTCGTCCTGATGATACTCTAAACCCACTGCCCGACGGGGAAAAGACACCACTGTAAACAAGTATTAAAATAAATGCATTCCCTAATGGCGTGGAGCTCGCTGCCTTTCAGCTGCCACAGGTTTTATAAGGCTCTGCTGTGAGAGTGAAGATGGAACCGAGGTAACGTTAAATTGACAGAAGTGTCTGAAAGCTGCTGTTTCAAGTGTGCTGCAAGACAAAGACACTGAAAAACCATTCTCGCCCTTACAAACTCGAGATGAAAGTCAGTAACTCATATCTTTTCAAGAACCAGGAACGGTGTTGATATTCAGAGAATCAGGACTAAAGGAATCATCAAAAGATCAGCGCTCCGAAACAAAAAAATGTTTATATTTAATTTGTAACTCCATTTTTTGACTCCATGAGTTTACCATTCAAACCAGTAATTTCACATTTCTGGTGATTAAGATCTAGTTATCCAGACAGGTTCATTCCTTTATATTCAGGGTTATAACAGGCGGATGGTTACCACACAGGTGGATCAGTGGTTACCACTAACAAGAAGCTTGGGGCTTGAACCCTGTCAGAACCTCTCTATGTCACATTCACATGTTTTTCCCATGGTTGTGTTGGTCCTGGAGATCCAGTTTCTACCTTTATAAAACATGCCATCTTAGCCGAGGACTCTCCTGAAAAGTTATTTTGCTCTCAAGATTTTCACATTGTGTTTAACCTCCTAAGACCCGAACTCTTCCACGGCAGCATTTTTAATTTCTCTTTGATATTTGGGCTGATTGGGGCCCGATGAATGTAAGAACGAAGAATTAATGTTTACCTTATTTTTGTTTTTAAGAAAAATAAGAGCCTCATATGAGGATATTTGTTTAAATTTTGATAGAACAGAAGCAGTATAATATTCGTTTAAAACTTTGATAGAACAGTAGCAGTTTGACGTCCTCGTAAGTGGATATCAGGCCCTTGTAGAGCAAAATTGAGTATTTTGGTCTAAATAACCCAAAATGTGACGTCCACATATTGTTACACATGGTTAAATAAACATTAACAAACAAATAAATTGCCTTACTTTTCCTTTAACGACAACAACAAGTAACCAAAATCCAGCTTCTAAACAAACATCTGTGTGGAAGCAGCTCTGCACTCAGTGCTGCAGAGGCAGGATTCACATGAGTCCCTTCAGTGTTTAACAGTGAGCGTTTGCTGTTCATTGTAGCAACACCACATAATTCACAAGACAAGCTTACAGACTTCAGTTAGAAAGCCGAGCTTCCTGTTACTCGCTTTGGTCATTTACGGCATTGTGAGTGCTCAGTGCAACAATCAACCTCTGCTTCTCTGAAGATCTCTTATCACTCCCGTTTTGGCCTCCCGTCACTGGTTACCTGTAAGTTTTAGGTTTCAATTTAAAGTTTTAGTTTTAACCTTTAGGGCCCTACATGGTCAAGCCCCCCCAGTATATATCAGACCTGCTGAAACCACATTGTTCTTCCCCAGCTCTAAGGTCATCAGGTCAGAGATTGTTGGTGGCCCCACTCGATTGAAAACTCGTGGTGATCGGGCCTTTTAGGCAGTGTGATTGTTTTAAAAAGCAGCTGAAGACATTTTTATATGGGCAAGCTTTTAATTAATTTGTTGTATTTTACTGTTTTACATTGTTATTTGTTGTATTTCCACTCTTTTCATTTTTCATTTTCTTTTTTGTAAAGCACTTTCTGATTTTTACCTGTGAAAAGTGCTTTACAAATAAATTTATATTACTTACTTATTTACTCTGACTTTTTTTTTTTCCAGAAGTTGTGTTGAATAAAACGTTCAGAGTTCTTAAACACTTCAGTTGGAGGAAAC